TTCAGCACACATTTCGGAGGCTCCTCTGTGCTGCGGCCTCCACCCCGTCCAGGGTCGCCCCGCAGTCCCGTTCAGATCCCCCTCCAGGCTCCAGATCGCTCTTCCAGGCCCTGAAGGGAAGGGCCCACCCGCGGGAGGAAAGCACGTCCAGCAGGGGCTAGGCCAGTCTGTTTCCAGAAGTGGCTTCCGCTTCCAAGGGGCGGGACTCCCTGCTTAGGCGGGCTCCACAGCTACGCAACCAAAGCTCGGTTTCCGGCTCCCGCTCAGACTCCGCCCCCTTCCGGAGGAGGTGGGTGGTGCGGGTGCAGGACCCGGGCTCGGGCTCGGGCTCGGGCCGGAGGCTGGGAAGAAGACTGGATTTATCTCGCCCGCCCTCCCGTCTCCTAGGCTCCTCTCGCGGGAACCAGGAGGAACCACCGAGATGCGGGGTCCTCCAGTTACTAGAGGGCCTCTCAGGGACGGTTCGGTCGGCGGGTCAGTGTGAGGAAGTACTTCCGGGGCGCAGCCATTGTTCGCGCAGAGAGTTCTGATCGTTGGGAGGCTGCGTAGGCCGCTCAGAGCCCAGGGTGAGCGGGTCTGACCCGGCCCGAGCAGGAAGGGGAGGTCCTGCGGGGAGACGAGAGCGGCGGGGTCCTCAGCCCACTCCCGGGTCCTCACCCCACCCCCCGGATCCATCCTGTCGAGAGGGGGCGCCAGCCTTCGGCTCCGACCCCTTGGTTTCTCGTCCCCAGCACGGCCAACGGCCTGTTTATTCTTTTTGGGAACTGATAGAATTTGAGGGGTGTTGACACTGAGGTTCGTAAAAAGTCTTGATTGAGCTCCAGGACACGCTATCCACAGAGACTAGGTCCCTCGGCCGTTTCAGCCCCTCTCGTCCCGGCTGCGGAGACCCAGCCGCACCCCCGGCCCGTGTCCACCTTAACGGCTCTCTCCCGCTCCAGGTGGTCTCAGGAGGCCGGTCTGTGATCACTTTTATCTACTCACCTGGCCTGGTGTCAACCCCATCAGGAAGCTTATTAGTGTCCCTAGAGCAGGCAAAGTCTTGGCAGTGCTGAAATGGTTCCTCCTCTTCCCCCCTCCCCTCCCTCCCTCTCCCCTCCCTCTCCAATCCCCTTCCCCCCTCCAGAATGGAGGCTACTTAGTTCACAAATTGGAGAATGTGGAGTCCTGGATTTGGATTGGCTCAT